ATCACGTTGTCTCTCTTTTCTAGACTTCTGGCCTCCAGAACTGTGTAGAAATAAATGTCTGTTGTTTGAGTCAACCAGTTTATGGTGTTTTGTTATGGTAGTCCAAGCAGACTAAGACAGAGATTGCCTTATGTAGTTAATATCATCTGAATTTATTTTACCATTATGTCCATTTCCATGGACTAGATAAGAATGTCATTCCACAGGCAGCACCCCAGGCAAAGTGTGGGATAAATAAGCTGAGATAAGAGTAAGAGCCCAAGATCCCAAGAATTCTAGATTTGAGAAACATAATAAAGGACAATCAGAATTTGATAGAGGAAGTACAAGAGAAGAAAAAGCAATGACATATGTTTAAAATTCTGACAACTTAGGAGGATTTTTGTGGTGTTGATGACAAAATTAGGCAACTCGTGAAGCACAGGTTGAAGGTGAAGTTTTGCTTTAGAAATATTAAGCCCAGAGGGAGTATATTATCTCTAGAAGCAAGACCCAGTAGGCATTACAAAAACAAGAATGATGCCAGGGGAGAGGTCAAATTGGTTCTATAAAATCCAAATAGTGAATAAAAAAAGAGCTTCATGAAAAATATCTTGCAGAAAGAAGAGACTTAAGAGCCAAGAGAAGCACCTCCAAATGCTGGGACATATGTGGCCGCCACACAGAGGTCAAGAGTGGGAAACGATTTCTCAAGGCCAGTAGCAGAATCAAGACTATAACTTTTGATTTCTTGGCCCATAAGTCATTAGCCAATAACTGGATGTTGGTTCACTGGAGGGCAACCAACCAAGATGGCAACATAAATGAAATCACATGAAGAACATTTGAAATAGCCAGAATCACTGAACTTGGCAGAAGGAAGATGAAGTTTTGGAGAAGGTCAACTGAGAGTTGCCTTCAGGGGCAATAAAGGTTTTTTTTGTGTGGGAAATGGAGCAGAAATATTCCCTGTTACTCAGATAATGCTGCTAAGTTCTGTGATACTGTGGCCCTTTTCCCTGGGAAAGGGGAAGAGGAGAAGTCTCAAGCCTGTGGGGTTGACTATGAACTAGAACACTCTTACTCTTTGTCCAAATCTGTGATACTGCAATCTACAAAGAGATTGTCACCTTTTCTACTTGTGACTATTTGTCATAAGTTGATCTGCTACTGTAAGTCACCAAGAAAGTACAAATAAGCCCTTAGAGATGCTCTCCATAACCAAAATCCATGAAAAGTAAGCCCAAATGCGAAATCAAAGAAATGACTTCTGCCCCTTCTTTGCCTGAAATACTGTGCTGAGCACACAGTAGGCATTCATGCATCATCTGACAACTTGAAGGAAAGTCAGCGACTCCTGAGTGGCTTTACCTTGAAGTCAGAGTTAGATCATCTCCTACAACTCTCAAAGACATTTTCCTTCGTGTTCAAGATCCGAACTTCAATAACATCTTCCAAAAGGAAGATGAGATTTCTCAACAAGCTTTGTTTCTCCTTTGGCCTCTTCTTCAATGCCTGATGTCGCTCAATAAAACCCAGCAAGACTTGGTTATAAAATCCAGATGAAGCCACCTGGGTTCCAGGGTATAATTTGAAACTTGCCTGCTGCATACAAGCAAAGTAAAAAATAAGTCAAGTTTTAATGGCACAAAGCTTAACATATGAAAAAATGCTCAAACTTTCATAATTATGTTCAGAGTTCATATACAGAAGTGCATGTTTTCCAAGAATAACAATCTGCTGCTCCAAAGTGTTCAGAGTGTGTCTCAAATATAATCTGTACTACCTCAAATGCAATGAATGCTAAGAAAAACACATGGTACAAGCATGTCATCTTCATTTGGCATGGAACATGTGTTATAACCAACATTTACAACTTAAGTACTAGAATCAGGGTCAAATCCAAGCTTCACTATGTGCTGACTGTGTGACCTTGAACTAGTCACTCAACCTCTCTGTGTTCCCCATCAGTGAATATGTTAGTATCTACTTCATAGGATTGTTGAAAGAATAAAGTGACTTAATACGTTTACAGAAGCAGTGTCTGGTACATAGTTAGTGCTCACTGAATATTTGTAATTATTTTTGCTGCTTTAAGACAATAGAAGAGAAAAGGATCTGAGAATTTCGTGGACTGTAGAATGAAAAAAAAAAGACACATTTCTAATGGGAATTGCACAAAATATCTGAGGCAGAAACCAGATATAAGAACTAGGGTCTTCTGTACCTTTGTTTAGACCAGTTCAAAGTCAATAGGAAAACACATGCCTTAAGTAGAAAGCAATTTTTGGAGATTTTAGCTCTTAACTAGCATTAATGAAATAATTACCACATTTTTACAGAAGAGCAGCTTGGAACAGTCAGAGTAGGAGTTTCTCATAGTTATAAGCTAAAGAGAGTGCTTAGCTCCTGTCTTGGGGTCCACCACTTCCTTTATCTCTTACTTTGAGGTTGCTCATGAAATCTGACACTAACCCACAGAGCATATATCTTTTTAAAACTAGGAAGTAACATCTATTCTGCCACTAATCCTCCTATGGTTTCCACCTTACTTTGCCAGCTGGCACATAAATTATAAAACTTAAATTTGTAGAAGCACTCAGCATGGGCATTTAGCTAGATTAGTTTTGCAAGCACAAGAAAGTGGGAATTTATGGTTAATATAAAAATAACTACCATTTGCTGAGCAGCTTTTATTGTATCAGGCTGTTTTCATTCCATATATATATATGAGATATTTTATATACATATTTTATATACATATATAAGTATATATACGTATATAAAAATCTCATTCAGTCTTCCAGGAATCTTGTAAAGGAGGTAGATGTCACTGCTGTAGAGTAATTGAACGCTAGCTTATTCTGAAAAACCCCTAAGCTCAGTGGTGGGGGAAGTACAGGGAAATTTGTATATTACTCAATAATGTCTGGTGCAGGTCAGCAGGCTCCCCCACCAGCAGCGATGTCCTAAGGGCAGCCTTGGGGGTGGGCTCCTCCTATTACTTGACTCCAGTATTTGAGTCGTTTGCTTCCTGCCATATGGGCGAAAAGGGAGAGAGAAAGAACGAGTAGGCACAGGAGCTGCTAAGCACCTCAGCCCAGAACTAACCTTACATCACTTCCATTCACATCCATTGGCCAGAAATCAGTCACATGGCAACCTAGCTGCAAGGGAGGCTGGGAAATGGTGAGGAATGTGTAGATATTAGTAAACACTAAAAGTATCTGCATAGTTTACTCTTCTGGTCAGCAAATGTCTACTTCCTTCCATCATTGCAAACACAGAACACACTCGCCTTTCCACAAAGGAAACACCTCACATTCACTCCAGTCATTGCACGCAGCTCCAAGTCCAGTGTGGATGTGGTATATCTTAATCTGGTGACCCAAGAACTAAAAGGAAATGTTTTATGAATTAAAATGACAACTCTCTCTCTCTCTCTCTCTCTCTCTCTCTCTCTCTCTCTCACACACACACACACACACACACACACACATTGCAAATGGTGTAACAGTGATGGGACAAACACCATAAAAATTCCTGTACCCCAGTTCTTCTATAAATAAATTAATCATTAAAAAATTCCTATTCAGAAACCAAAGAACGGAGACACATGGCGAGACAGACATGGGAGAGGCCCTTCCAGGTTCCTCTCCTGGGTCCCTTGTGAGGTGTTTGTTGAGGAATTGGTCCCCCAGGCAGCCTGCCATCCACTTCTTGCTACTGAAAGAAGTTGTTTTCAGTCTTGAAAAAGATTCTGAGTGCATAACCACTTCCCTATAGTTTTAGAGCCTTTCTCTCTTGCACTATTTCAATCAGAGACATTATTCTGTGCCCATAGCATGACAGCTACTTTAGGTGACTCAAAAATCACAGTGGACAATAATCTATAGTGTTTGAAATAATTGATGAGGTTTTGGTCCTGAAACTGGTTTGACTAAGTATACACAATGAGCATCCTTAATAGGGCATGCCTGTGTCCACATTTCTATTCCCCACCAAATGGTTCACTTATTTAATGACTGTTTCCTATATTCACTTAGGGGATTTAGTTATATCACAACCATTCATTAAATGTGGCAAAAAGTCCACATTATCCTACGTTTGCTCTCTGCACAAGCGGCCACATATTTGCAAAAGTTGCTCAAACTGTCATTGGTCTGATCCTAAGGAATCAATAAACGCTTATTATCTATGTTGTTATTTGTTTGTTTGTTTATTTCTCTTGTTGAACATATATAGGCTGTTTCTGTCTCAGAGCTGGTATAAACAATGCTAAAATGAGCCCCTTTTCACCCACACCTTCCAGCACATCTGCCATTATCTCCTTGGGATAAATTTCTAAAAATAGAGACGCTGGATGAAAGATCATTTGAAGGCTTCTCATGTGTTTTTCTAAATTGCTTTCCTGCCACATCTGCTTTAAGATGTAAGATAAACAATTTTAATCATCATTTTTAGTTGACCATATTAAGTTGGCTGCAATTTGAATCCACAAGTGTGTGTGTGTGTGTGTGTGTGTGTGTGTGTGTGAGTGTGTGTGTGTGCGAGAGAGAAAGAGAGAGAGAGAGAATGGTAGTTGGGGACAGGTGATAGAAATAATAAAAGCAGCAACATCAGCTAAGACTGAAGGCAGAAGACTTATTTAACTGTATGGACAGATTGCAAAGTGTGTGTCCTTCCCAAAGCTTACAATTCATAAACAAGAGAAATGTTAAAATAAGATCATGCAAATACATTATTTTAGGTATCAGCCCCTTCTCAGGAAAACATAATGCACACTAATTTCCAACTGTCAAACAGACAAGTTAGGGAATAATTACATAGCAGCGACTGTGTTTTGTGTTAGCAGGACTGATGCTTAGACACAATTCCACTAGTTACCATTGTTTCAGAAGATAGAACACGGAGTTTTCTATGCGCTGGTTCTTGGGGGGTTTTTTGTTTTTTGTTTTTTTTTTAAGCTTCCAGCATAGCAATGCCATTTGGCTGTAAGACATCACTTCAAAAGGCAAAAAAGCAACTGGGAGGACACAGTAAGAGGACAGCGGATAAGGGAGAGAAATACAAGTGTGTAGATGCCGGGAGCTTTTTTGCTCCTCTTTTGCCTCTGGCCAGGGTTTGCACAAGAACGTCAGCGCCCTAACTCATTCCTAACGAGAGTATATATTAAGTGCTTTGAAATGTGAGTATTATGGGAAGGATCACAGTTGCTTTAAATTATAGCAGTTGGCTAGTGCCTGGGAGGAGCGGAAGGTTATTTAAACCCAGAAAGGCAATTGCAGAGCTTTGAACAACAGCATGAGCTCCAAGCTTCAAATGCGTTCTCCAGCTCAGAGCACTTTATTTTTTCCTCAAGTTGTTTTTTGTATTGTTCGGAAGTAGCTTCGAATACCAAATGCATATTTCTGCTTTACTTTTTTTGGAAGGTTTCTAACTTCATGGGACAGCCAAAGCAGGCAAGTCTGACATCCGTGCCGTCTAGAGAAGGTAAGTTACTGTTTTTGCTGCACTTTTTCTCTTGTTTCCGCCTGTTTGGTATTCATCGGGAATATTTACTGGAGAACTTAAGACAGCTACTTGTAACGAAATAGAGAACTTGCAGGAAGTATGTCAACAAATGATAAATCAGCAATTAGAAACCCTCAGCGGTGGGGCTTTCTCTTACTTTCTATTCTGCTGGACCCAAGACCCTCTGGAATGTCATTGACTACGTGATAAAGGTCATTTCTTTTAAAAAATGGATGTGGGTCTTCAAGACCTGCAGTCCATGTGCAGACCAGCATCCTCCAGTGTGGTGGTGGCCCCAAGGCCAGAGTAGCTGGGTCTTCTTCTCCCGGTGTAGGGAACTTGACTTCCGGAGCTGCCGGCTTTTATTAACTGAGAGACCTTTCCCATGGACGATTAGAACATCAGTCCAAAAATTCTCTGAAGTGTGGTTGCTATGACTTCTTATAAACTTGTTTTGCAGAATCTGCTTCTAAAAGTTAAATAAATCATTTGCTTTTCCTGGGTCAGAACACAAGAGGATGTTGCAGGGATTATGTCCCCAGGGGGAGCGAGAGGAAACAGCCCCACTGAAGGTTTGCTCGCTCAGGTTGCAGTTGACCGGCTATGCAGGTCGCCAACTGGGGACTGGGGTCTTTGCTTTCACCCTTGCAGCTCAGAAACAGGTGGGGAGCAGAGAGGTGAGAAAAGTCCTGATTTTTCATGGCTCGGTGGGGGGCCCAAACCGGGGAGAGGGAGGTCCTCAACCCCGAAGAAGGTCTCTGTTATCAGCGCTCCGGTCTTCCCAGGCAACACTCCAGGAGCAAAGCACTAGCTCTCCACAGAAATGTGCAGATTCCTGCGGGCTGCGATCCTCCCTCCGTGCACACATAGGTACTCGCAGGCCCCTGGGGACATCTTAAGCCATGTCAGTCTGCAAAACCCAGGGCTACAGAAACCTTAGCAGAGGCCCTCAGGCCTGGGGGGGCAGTGCAAGGGGGCCCTAGATGCGCTGGCTGGACCGGCCCCACCTGCATACTGAATCAGCTCTTGCTGTTTCTGGAAGATTGTTTCTGTCTGTGTCAAATTGTGATTAGCTAAGGTGGATGACAGTGGCCTCCCCAGGCGTTGTCAGAAGGAGCCTCAGGTCAGAGAGGACTGGGACTGGCGAGCAGAAGGGAGCAGGCGGCCCCATTAGCTCATGGCAAGGTGTCACGACGGACTTGCAGCTCCTTTCTCGTGCAGTCTGTGAGCCCCAGCCTCGTGGGCCTGCGCTGCGCATCCATGTCGCTCCCTCCACCCTCTACCCTGGCCCCGCGCGCGCCAGCACCCGGAGCCTTGGAGAGACGAGATGGTTCCGTCTCTTCCTTCTCCATTCACAGGCCAGTTCGGGCAGCCCCCACCCTATTCGGAGGGGGTCCCCGGGCCCCCACCCCATGACCTCATCGCAGGCAGCGGGAGGGCTGGGAGGCCGGGGTTGCGTGGCGCCTGAGCGCGCCCTGGGGACGGGCGCGGCCGAACATGCGCAGCGCGTGGTGGGACTGCGGGGGTGTGGGGCGCCGGCTTCCTACCCCCGCTCCCCGCGAGGCTGGCGGCTTTTCTGGAAGCCAGAGCCATAGACCCCACCTCCGGCCGGAGAAGGCCCCAGACAGGACAAAAACAAAGAGGCAGCTAACCAGGTTGCTGCAAAATCCTCGGCAGCAGACTCATCTGAGGCTCAGTCCTTGGGGGGCCGGGGGGGCTGGCCATGAAACCTGGACAGTGCCCTGGAAAGGACAGGTCAGGGTCCTCCCCAGAAGGACCCAACAAGAGGCCCCATCTGCCTCCTCGCCTCGGAGAGACTGGGGGAGAGGCAACATCTGCGAGGGACGGTGGGGGCGCAGGGGACCGAGGGAGGCCCGTGTTAACTGATGAACTGCCGGGCAGCCCCGCCGTGCGTCTAATGATGGCTTGGAACCAGGCTGTTCCAGGGTGCAGGGACAGTCTCAAGCCCCAAGTCTGGGAAGCAGACCTGAAAAGCCCCAGGCTGGAGAACCAACCCTTGGAACAATTAGGAAAGAGACGCCATGGTAATTGAACCCACCCAAAAGAGGATCTAGTCTGTGCCAGAACCTTATTCACCAAGGCTCTTTGAACGTGGCCCTTGACAGAGACATCCAGCTTGACCAGCCTAGAAGTAGGTGGAGAACGCAAAGAGGGACTTTGCATGTCGGCTTGCTGAAATTAAAGCAGCTTCCCATAGAGTTACAGCTAAACTAGACCTTGAACTACTGTCAACTTGTAGAAAGTACAGGAAAGCAAGAGCAAAGCAGACTCTTCTCATTAATTTCATCTTCTCATTAATTTCAGCCTTTGCCCATGGTTTGAAGACCTACTGTGAGCATTGTCTTCCTGAGGGCCAGGCATGGGACAAAAGCTAAATAAAACAGCAGCCTACCTTCAAGGAATTATCAGTCGGAGAGGGGAAATAAAAGATGCACTCTGATATCTCAGATGCACATGAGTTGTTAGGAGGAAAACGCAAACAGAGGCTCAGAGCAAATTGGGGTTCAGAGAACAGGAGACGGCGGGGTCCCGGAATGAAGGTCGGAGGTGGCACTCTCTGACATTCACCACTTTAGGGAGCTGTGCTCAGTGTGTTGAAACATGACTGACCATGTGTCTTTATAGAGCTGGAGGTGGGTGTTGATGTGTCCATCTCAAAGATGAGGTGACTGAGCCCCAGAGAATGGTGTCACCCACCTGGGTCTTCCAGGAGTTAAGGGCAGATGAGGGTCTCAAGCTCAGATGCAGCTGATGCTCGGCACCACCCCTCACCCAGAAAAGAATCCTCAGAGGAAGTAATGTGCAATCTGACCTCACAGGTCAGGTGAAGATTGGCAGAGGGGCGTTCTAGGCAGCAAGGAGAGTATTAGCAAAAGTGGGAGAGAAACCAGGGCAGCGAGGCCCTGGGAAGTCACCCTGGTAGAGCAAAGTGCGTGCACAGAGAAGGGAATGTGCTGAAAGACTGGGTTGGAATCAGATCACAGAAAGCCTTGAATACCATAACACAAACTTTGGGGTTTTTTTAATGGAACAATGATTAACAGTTTATAAACAAGAAAGTAACATGATGAGGGCAAGAATCTAAGATGATTAATCATTCTATGGGAGGGGCCAAGACTGAGCCTGCAGTTACGAAGAGGTGTTTGTCCAGGTACAAGACCACGCCAGCGTGTTCACAGCACTTCAGGGGGGGAGGTCCACCCTGGGCCACCTTCTAAGTCACCACCAAGACCTGGTCTGTCGTAATGGGTTTCACATGACCAGCCCTGCAGTCTCTCTGAATCCAGCTCACCCCTGTAAAAATGGGATGGGTGGACAAAAGAAGGGACAGAGCGTACTAGTCGAACTTTGAGGACCTTCCCAGTTCTCAAATTCCATGAAGATATATTGCTAAACACTTCCATGGAACTAACTGTAGAGTTCTTATTCAATCATTGGGATCCAGATTCTTCTTATCAAACAGGCATATTTCCAAAAGAACTTTAGGGCCTATAAGCATTTAAGAGCTTAGGACTACAGCAGTTACATAACAATAGTATTGGCATGAATTGATGGGGGAGGGTGTATTTTAACATATTCTTCAGGGGAAAATTTTACTCATATCTCTAGCTATTTGCCTTTTGCAAAACCCAGCTGTCTGTCTCTCGCTGTGAGAGCTCTTGCTACAGTTCATACCACACTGGGATCTTGTAGTATATTCAATGATATTTATTCATGTTGGCACCATGACTTCTGCCAGATCCCAAATAGACAGGAAGCTTCTAAAGTGTAGGAATTAGTTTATCTTCAGATTCCTGATGCCGAAAATCTGAGTTCCATCTACCCCATCGAAACACAGTTCTGCAAGAAATGTCACTTCATTTTCTTTAACTCAGTTGTATCAGATTCCAAGGATTCATGCCAGCAGGAACTTTCATTTCAGAAATTTCAACCTCCAAAACCAAGGTGGTCTTCCCACACACCAAGGGTGCCCATTCATATACTGCTTTGATGGCTGTGGACTCTTCAACTTCCATTTGGGAACCCGGGTCACTGTGAAGGCCAGGCCCTCCAGTGCCTGAGCAGCCCTCTGCCTGGGAGGTCTGGCCATAACTAATGAGCATTTCCTGGATACACTGACCTGGATACCCCAATCTCTCCAGGTCTGGGGGAGCTCCCAGTACAGGTCCCTCATCTCCATCCCCCCACCCCCAACTCTTGGGCTTGGACTTTCAGAAATGAAAGTAAGAATTGCTATTTTCAAGGAACGTCTGCTTCCTGTGAACTAGAAAACTCATAGGACTGGGCAACATTCCTAGGGTAAGGTGGGGCAGAGACCATGCTCAAGTGAGTATTTCCCTAAGTGAGTATTTTCATGCACCCTACAGGGAGCCGATAGACATCAGGGAAATGCATGCCCCCCAAAACAATGAAATGGCTTCTCCCAGTTGCTCAGTGTGCCGCCAGGGGAGCTATCATCAGGACCAGCTCAGGAGTGTTTTCACAGGTACCTGCATTTTGCACCTACAGTCTCCCTGTCCCCATTTTTCAAGCAAGAGGTAACTAGCTTGTTTAAGACCTTAGAAGAACTGAGAGACAGGAGTATTTCCACTCAAGTGGTGCCCTTCTCTAAAACCCACACACCCTTTCCGCCCAGCCACACGCATTCCTACAAAGGATTCCTGATTTTCTCACAGTCCAGAACACTTGTCCTTCAGTAGCCCTTTCTAATTAAAAATATTTAAATGAGACTTTTTCCCCAACATAAACAAAGTGTGACTGTTCCTGGTACAGTAGCAATTCCATAGAGACATTTACACTTCGCTTCATCATTCATCTGTGGGAAGCAGCGAGGAGACTTAATCCCATTGGAAAGATGAGAGCAAGGTAAAATGCATGGACTTTTAGCAAAAGAAACAAGTTAGTGGTCACAGAGCTAGAAGAGAGCTCAAAATCTGACATGCATTTGTCTGTCTCTA